TGGGAAGAGGCTATTTTGTCACTGGATACATTTGCAAAAACGATCTGAGTCCTGAAACAATTTGAGCAGACATGTTCCTTTGTGTTGCTCAGAGTGTGGTGTTAGATTTCTCACAGCTAGATGAAATGTTTACTTGCTGCTTTATACACACACCCAAAGATCTATGTGTCCTTATTAAGTGAAGTAAATCATTTAGGGAGCCCAGAGCCCCAAAATGGAGAAGAATTCAGTTTAAACACTGAAATTGAAAACTGTATTTTTAAAGTTATTTTTATTCATGGCAATTTGTCATTTTTTGAGAAAATCAGCATTGTGGTGAGCAAATGGAAAGAAGCAGTGTATTTGCTACAGTGGGTGTTTTAAGAATGTGCAGCAACAAACAGAGAACTACTTTAGAAGTTAGGTGTAGTTATTTACCTGATTAAATAGTTAATTCGGTTTTTAAAAAGATAACACCCGCTAAAATATTTCTCAGAAAGATGTATATCCCAGGAAAAAAAATATTTGTCCCCTGTACAAACTATTTGAAGATATTTTAGAACAATGCTCTGCACGTTTCAAGAGATAAATTTTCTGGCTGCATTTAAATATATATTAAAACAGTTTATGCAATACAACTTAGGAATCAATTAAGCATTTGTTTATGTCAATTTAATAAAGACAGCATGTGTATTTCTGTAACTTTATCTGCTTCCCAGACCCTTTTGGCTTCTAGTTCAGCATATCATCCTTTGGGTTTGCAAATGAAATGGAAGCTCAGTTTAAAAAGGTGTTTAATATAAATATAAGTTACCCTTTTTGTTTTTACCCAGTTAACAAGTTAGCAGAGAAAACCAAGTAATTTTACTAATCTATGCTAATTTTACTAATCTAATCTATGCTATGTGAAGGGTTTTTCAGAATGCATAATTTGCACTCTTTGTAACCTTTCAAAGAACATGTAATGATATTAACACATTAAATTTTAAGAAGTTAAGGGATATATACACAATACACATACAGATTTTAAGCACCTTTTCCCTACTTATTTTCTAGTTATTCTGAGTGTCCCTTTTCTAGTTTTTAATGTGCTTTTTCCTGCTGGATTCACACTCTTTTAAGTATTGTTTGCGTCTTCTTTCCAGTCTCAGAATGAGAAGAATATATGACAGTTTTGTGTGCTGGGGAGAACTAGTCTCGGTGAAATCTTATCATATTAAGGGAACAAAAGCATATAAAAAGCAGCAAAATAAAGCAACCTCGCCTCACTATCACAATATTGCAGGGTTTTTCATATAAAAACCTATAAAGATTCCCTATTTCAAAGAGGGGAGCAGAAATAAGCCCCAAAGCTCTAGAACCCCGTGGGAATCTTTGCTGCCATTAAAATAATTTAGAGGTTCAGAATACTGTATTGAAGGCAATGGATGAGCAGCTACTAGAGGGTATCAGGATTGTGTAATGTTAATTCTTAAAAAAAAAGTGAGATGTCATTTTCTGTGAAGCCTTTCACATTTGATGGGGGGGGGGAGACCTTCTGGCAGCCACCTTATGTATTGCTGACTCAGTAAAATAGCTGGTGAAATCACTTCCCCACCCCCTACCAATTAAATTAATTTATCACAGATCGCATAACAGCATCTTCAATGTCAATAGCAGAATAGTATTCTAATGTCTTGATGACCTATGCACTTGTGTAAAGTTCAAACATTGCAAAATGTTAGCCATTATTTCCATAGGTTTAAATATTTATCAACACATTGCTTTTGTTAAGACTATGATTTGCAACATGTAGAGGTTTATCTCCTTTGTGTTTGCAACAGAGTCCTATCATTTTAATTTTTTCGCTTCTGAGTCATTTTTCTTTTCTTATAATTTTCCCAGTAAAATCAAATTCTTTCCCTGCACAAATTTAGGAACATGATAGATGTCCTTTCCTAGAGCTCTTTCTCGCAAAGCAAAAGGAAGAATTAAGAAATATCTTCTTATGATTGCAAAACATAACCTATTAATATGTTTTGTAAAGTAAACCTCTGCAACTGTTTGCAAATGGAAAAACTGAACCAGAGGTATTTACATACCTTTTAAAATTGGCCACACCTGCACCAATGTAAAAAAACAAAACACCCCACAGACTTGTTTTCATGAACACATGTAGTCCATTGGCTAAACAGTATTATGCAATCTCGATATAATAATTAATAAATAATAAATAATAATAATAATAATAATAATAATAATAATAATAATAATTGTTTAATTATTTATACCCCGCCCATCTGGCTGGGCGTCTTCCAACAAATATTAAAATACCGTAATGCATCAAAACATTAAAAGCTTCCCTAAGAGGGCTGCCTTCAGATGTCTTCTAAAGTCTGGTAGTTGTTGTTCTCTTTGACATATCTGACCAGGGAGAGTTTCCTCTTTTCCTATTCCTCATAAATTCCCATTTGGTCTTTTTTGTTGTCTTTTGGGTGATGCCTTCTTAACATTTTGTGAGTGTAAATTCCCATAGCCATCCTCCTTCGGTGTTCAGTTCCCTTTTCCCCATGGTCACTGCGGCGTGGATGCCTTATGTCTCTCATGCACATGCGTACAAATACTCGCACATGAACTCTTAGGTCATCACATAGTCCACAGCCTGCCAGGCCACATACACATTAACAAGGCTTATTTGGAATGGTTCATAACAGAATGTAAGGCTATCACTCTCATGGCTTTATGAGAGTTTGAAGAAAACAGAAACAGCAGCAGGGTAAAGATCTTCAGCAATATTTAAGGTGGCAAAGTAGCTGTGGGTATCCAGCACTGTTCCTTGTTGTGCAAATAAGAGTGTTGCAAGTGTGTATCTGTGAAATTTGGAGGGATGGTGCCCCCCCACCGCCAACTGGCACTCTGTGGGAGCACCCAATATGCTCTTCCCCTAAGACCCCTCCTGTCTCAGCCACCTCACATTTAAAGATACAACTACCTCTCTGAAAATACTTTATATCTGTCTGCTCCCACAAAATGTACCCCTCCAAAAAAAATTCCCCTCTATGAGGACTGAATGGGGGCAATAC